CTAAGGGCCCAAGCTGGAGCGACCCCCCATGTTCCTCATCGAGCGTGGGGCGCTACGGTCAGTTTGGACCGTTGGGAATTCACCTAACAGAACAGTGACTTCTGCGCTGCAGCCTGACAAAAAGTAGCATATTTTAATGCATTTTTATTCCTGCGTGGGTTCTGTTGAAAGTGGGAACTTGCAACTCCAACGGCAACTGCTACAGCAACCGTGCCGCGTGAAGTGTTCCTGCAAAAGACACACCCGCTCCTCCACAGGCAGTTGAAGCAACAGCTGCAGCACGAAATAAATCAGCTGCTGCAGCTGCTGTAGCAGCTGCAGCTGTGGAGATCCTACTGAAGGGATCCGGGGAATGCACGTGCCCGTAGCACTCCATCATGCATCCGCGTTTGGGTAGATACACACATTTGAGCGTGCACATTGGCAAGTTTTGCTGCATTGATGCAGAGAACCACAATTAAGTACACTCTCACGCCCTTCCAGACCTCGGTAATCCCAGTTTAACGTTATGCGGCCCTTTGAGTCACGCGGGGCTGGCTAGAACCTCAAATCCCGTGGAAATGTCCCACATTTTGATTTATTGCTGTCACGCAGCGGAATATGTTAATGTTCACCTGCGCATACATGGAGCTAAAGCCTGAGAGCATCTGGCAGCTGCGGGCTAGGGAACGACTCTCGACACCGAAGGCGCTGCAGCAGGACTAAATGCGCCTTTCTGCACCTTACTGCCTATCGGTAGTCGAGATTGCTACCAGCTGTGATAGGAGCCTTCTATTCCCATACAAAGAACATAGTACGGACAAGAGGGGAGAGCTAGTGATGGCCCCGTTGGACCTCTGGAGATTTTAAAGTAGATTCTTTTTGAGGGCGAGGGCCAAAGTTCAGCAGGTACTATCTGTAATAAGCAATTGATTGAGGCGAAACACCGTGAAAGTAACCTAATAAGCATCTTATCAGAGTTGCTGAAGTGGCTTCCCCGCGTGCGACGGCTTTTGACTGCCGTCGCAGCTTCTGCCCACTGAACCGAGTGCGCCAAAGAATTGCCCGAAAACATATTTGAGGTGCTTTAGAGTGAGAAATTGATCATAATTGTTGCCTGAGGTAGTTACAGGGCTCGTATGTGCCGTGTCTCTCTGTAGAGGCTGCCTCTTCCCTGCTGCCTGCATGTGGAACACTATTGACACTACTAGCTGACGCAGTTCCCTTGCCCTTTCAAAACTTTCCTGCGCCCTACCTGAGGTGCATTATGTTGCATTTGGAGACCTGTGCAGCGCCCATAGAAAGCCTAGCACCATATCATTGAGCTTTTCTTGAGAACTGGAGTTCCTTTCCAAGCCTCAGTCTTTAGCTAACAGAATCGCCTTAAGCATGCGTCCCGAAATGCTTTAGGATGTATGAAAAGACTTCAAGAGTTTTTTTTTCCGAATTAACTAGTCTTGGGGGCAGAAGCAAATAGAGGGGCACTGGATTGTACTGCGTGGGCCCCGTTTAGCCCTACTCATCAGATAATGCGTTTTCATTTATCACGGATTCATGAAAATATATGAAAAAGATGCACGTCAGCAAGCATGTTCACACACAACATTGCATAAATGCACGAATATGCGACATTTCATGAATCTGCACGTACCCGCAAATGGTGCAGTGATACATACATGCATCCACACATACGTACAGAAAAGCTGTTTGTGTATGTAAGCATGTATAGACAAACTCTTCTATTTCTGCAGCGCATCGAACGTTCATGAGCAATGACGCACATTCTGATGCACACATGGGAGCACTTGTGTGCATCTTGTACAGTGAAGCCTTGGTAGTTGCATGCTTTCACGCGTTGACTTCGGCGCGCAACTGCTGGTGCAGTGCATCTGCGACTCACACGCGCTTCCTCACGTTTGCAGGGCAGAAACCTTTAGGCAGTTGCTGTTCCAAGTAAGAGGACAGGCTTTCAGAAGCCTGCCGCGTTGCTGGTTTCCGCTAAGGCCAGCAGTTGGTCTATTGCTTGTCCGCCTCGTCCATTCCGGTATTGTGTCTCGGTAGAGCTGCCAAGCGCTCGCTGTGCGGTGAAGGTTAGAAGAGTCAGATTTGCCTGCTGCTGCAGCCTGGCGACAATTTCATTGAGCAAATCTACACCAAAGGCCACCACGAGGAAAACCTGGCACTGACTATCTCTATTTATACCTTGTACCCACTCTGCCCTGAAAATTCACACTGTCTCCGCCATATATGCGCTCTCCGTGTCTCCAGCTGAAATGAATCCCTCTGAAGTCTATCTGCATAGATTTATCCTTTACGGGTTAGACTTCAGTCGGTGAGCTGTGTGATTTTTTTGTAACTCGGCTGTGCAGCTGTTTGTGAACAAGGAAAAACTGAGAAAAAAATGACTGCGCAGTACCAAATCAAACGGATTAGAGCATCGGCAAATAAGGCAGGGAGGCAATAGTCGCTGCATCACACTTCCTTCCCTTCTAATACCGTCCCTGCACAGTCTGCCACGGCCATGGCGTACGCTTTTTCTACGGCTCCTAAATTTCGGCTCTTGGAGAATGTCAGGGCATGTGGCGCTGCATTCTAAAGTGAGGCAGTTTGGCTCCCCTTGGGTTTGCCTTCAAAACTTTCTTGCTCACTTTCCATATTAAAGCTGAATTTAGTTCGATAAAAAATAATATTCAGGCGTGGGCGGGACAGAGATTTCGGGGCCTAAACCCGTCAAGGGTCCCGTAGCTTCCTTTACTGTGAAACCCTCGCTGAAGCCAGGCGCCTTTACTGACCCCCACATTCAACAGGATGTATAAGACTGTATCTGTACATTAAATTTATGGCTTACTAACCCCTTCCAGCTCTGGGTGCTCCTAAAGAGTGTCTGTCTTCTCTTTGGCTGTAAGGGATCTTGTAACGCGCTCATTCGGCACAGCCAGCACACATGGCATTTTAAGATTCAGTTGGAGGATACTGCTGCAGGAGAATGGCCTTTCTCTTCCGGAAGCTTTCAGGAGACTCGGTAACGGAAGGCATTTCTGAAGGCATTTCTGGGCGGAAAGGAGCGGAAGCCCCACTCTGGGAAACGTTGCCTTCTTCCTGTTCCCCCAAGCTTCGTTTGCTGCTGTCTTCACCTTCTGGCTGGGGCTGCTGCTTCTGGGCAGCCAGACGCTGCTGCAGGCGCAAAGTGTGCCGTATGAGGCCCCGCACAGCCATAGACAGAGCCTTTACCATCCTTCGCAGCCTCTCGTTCTCCATACGAAGGCTCTCACTCTCTGCATTCTGTTGGTTTCCCGTGTCTGCTTCTCCAGAAACCTGGTGCAGGCCGTTTCCCTGCGGTTCGGTGCTGCTGCTGCCTGGTACAGCTTCTTGGCTAGCTGCGCCCTGCTGTCTCAGACGCAGCACGATCACCCGCTGCTTGAGCGTCGGCAGAATGGCCCTTAGAATTCTGGCGACGCGCTGCCTCCTTTCGTCCAATTCTCCTCCTTGGCTGCTTTCCTCTGCATTCGGTGCATCTGCACGGGCAGAGAGAGCAGCTGCGGTAGCGCCGGTGGCCAGTTGTGCTTGCTGTCTGGTGAAAGGCATCTTTATCTTCCTGCTGCCCGCTATCCCAGCGGCTTTGTTCACTTCCATCTGCACGTTGTTGAACCGCAGGTGCGCATTGAACCCGTTAATTCGGAGGTCACCTCGCGTACTGGAAATTCCATGGCCCGCCTTCAAGAGCCGTGCGCCCTTGGCCTTGACAGTGATGTTCCCTAATTTGTCTCGCGGTGCTGGAGAGGGCCACTCGGAAGCCCCCAGGGGCACACCTCTGAGGCCAGGGAAGGCGGGCGTTGCGCTGCAGGCGCAGATAGACGCCAGGAGAAGAAGGAAGCCGCAGCATGCGACCCTATGGGACCTTCGCTCTGCCATTGTGAAGCCCTTGATTTATTGCTGCCCTTTTTTCAAGCCTAATAAGATTGGGGACCTGAGCTTGGGCCAAGAAGCTGAGAGACACGCAGCTAGCGGCAGGCCAGGCCTCGAGGCAGCCAGCACGACGAGAGACTGGGAAGCGACGCGCGCCTGGAGAAGGGCTTGTGGAAGTAATTGGTTTAAATAAAAGTAAAAAAGTAATTTTTGAACTCAACTGAGAAAGAATAAATGCGGAAGGAGCGCCAGCACCTGGAAGGCACGAAGCGTTGAGCTGCGGTTGCCTCTGGCGCCTCGACCCCAAACCGGCCGCTCTTCTGCCCCAGTTGCTGCTGTTGCTGCTGTTGCTGTTGCGGTTGCTGATGCTTCTGCGGTGTTTATGCCTTGCACACCGCTGAAATATTTCTTGTGTGTCTACTCTAAAATGTGCACAGCCCTAGGAACAGCTTTTAGAGGACCATTTCAGGTCTCGGTGGCCCCGGTGTGTCTCGAGGCCGAAGGCAGCGATGGAGACCGGCAGCACCCGCAATCTCTAGTTGCCTTTCTAATTTGTTCCTCTAATCTTATTGGCTCTATTGAAAAAAAATAGTTGCATTTCCTGATTGCGGGAATCCCGACTTGCAAATGGCCAGGAAATGGCCCAGGCCCCGAACGACTCCCTCCTTCCGATGCCCACAAATCCGTCTTTGAGGTGCCCAATGAGCTCTCCTTTATGCTGCCTACATAGAAATAGACTGCAATCCTCATGCCACAGCTGCAGGCTATAGCTTAAGTGCGCCTTCAATTCACTTGACATGAAGTCCTTACGCTATGCATACGGCTTCCTCGGCCAACTCTGGCTTTCTTGGTATGGAAGCCACAAAAAGAAGAGCTGTCTTGCTAAGCCCTCCTAGCCCCACCACTGGTAGGGCCCAAAGGGGCCTTTCTGGGCTATTACATACTCTACGCGTCATACGTCGCATGCAGAAGCCACTGCCTGACAGCTCTTTCTAATTCAAGTTTCACAATCTATCTGCGCGAGCAGAACGATTAGAGGGCCACTCTGGCATTTCTCGTGCATTTCTGTGCAGTGCCCTCCTTGACACTGGCGTATTCTCTCCAAGTCTCCGACTTTAATTGATTTTTTTCATATCCTGGCCTTCCGCATTCTCAGGAGCGCGCTTCTTTCTGTAGAGCCAGCGCTGATACAACATTATTATGAATACCACGTCGTCACGGAAGACGCTCATCCTAAGAACAGACACACACACACGCATGCTCAGACGCCTATGCACTTGCGTGCACCTAAACATCCATGTAAACATATATATATATATATATGCGTGTGACATTAGTAGGTCTTTCTGTATAGCGCATACACATGCTTTCTTTCTGGCACGGACAGGCAGCCGCACATGCACATGAGTGCGCAGGCGTCTATACACATGCCTCTATCTGCACGTGCGTGCGTCAACCTTATACGTGCTTCAGTTTAAGCAGTTTGCAATAGTTTGAGTGTTTCGTGCATTTCCAAATGTAAAGAAGTATTTTCTCACCTGTGCATCTTCGGCATGCGAATAACATAAGCTGCGACATCATCCACAAAGGTGTTCACAAACTGGCAGCAGAGGACGCGCCAAGGCATGTACTCAACGGATTTTAAATAGTAGTTGCGAAACAACTGGGGGGTCATTGCCACAAAGCCCAGACCGTAGCAGCAAACTGCTGCGCTTGTTATGAACCATGACCACCTGAGCCAGCACCGCACGACACGCATACACAAGCAGACACAAACACATACTGGTGCATTAGCTGCGGTTTAGTTATATACATTGTGCAATGTACATTTTACCACAAAGCACTACGCAAACGGAAATGTAGACAAACAAGACCTTGAGCACGCGCTAGAGAAGCACACATCCACATACATGGGAAGATGTACAGGCAATGCGACAAACCAAAGGCGGAGATAGCCGTAAGAATAGGCGACCACGCTAATGCCGGTAGAGTGACAGATAAAAGAAAAAACTGAGGGAACAAACAAGGCTCAATAGCCTCAAAACTCACCAGCCCTTTTGAGGAACGTACACCAACTGGTAGCCACCCACTCCAACGATAAGAGGAACCACAAAGAAGTAAAACAAATTCCTGCGCAGCCAATACAGGCTATCATCTACGGCTACATTGCTGAAAATCTGTCGTTCAGAGCTTACGAGCTGAAATATGAGACAGACTGGGACAGAGGCAGCCCTGCTTGATTCTCTGCACATGAAGCCCCAGACAGTGAGACCAGGGTAGTGCGCCTACTGCATGCACTTGGCTTCGAAAGCCTCAGCGCCCTGCCGTGTCTTGTCATCAAGAATTGGAGTTTGGGGCCCTTCTGCTTGCGTGTCTTTGGTGGCATCAGCCGCCCCCTTCTTCCGAATAATTACGAACGGATACTGCAGCTGCACCGACACCCGAACCTGTAGGGCACAACACGGACACAATCATGCTGTGGAAGAAAGTGGAAAACTAAAGACCCCACTAATCCCGATCACACCCAGCCAAAAAATCAAAACAATATGTTCCAGCTCAATGCTGCAGCCTGTGCCGCAACAGCAGCTGTAGCATGGTGCAGCTGTCGCAGCTCAAGCAGCAGCGGCAGCTGCTCCCGTGCGTATCGTAGAGAGGGCCTTATGAGCTCACGAATTTGAGCATTTTCCAGAGGTTTAGGAGGATATGGAGGCAAACGAAAAAAAGGGGAAGGCGAGATTCGTTCTCGTGAAGGTATAGAGCCACCACCACTTCTGTCAGCACCTCGTACGCCAAAGTTCGTAGCTAAAAGCAGACCGCAGGAAGCGCAGGCACCCAACTACAATTAAGAACGAATGACTGCTTCCATGTGTTGATATTTTCGTCTGTATCAGGTAGAGTCGCAGAGCTTCCTTAAGTCTTTTTTGCAAGGATCCGTGAGAACTGGTATATTTATGTTTGCATGAATAAACATATACACGCGAAGTACCAAGCAGATTTGCTTTCAAGAATATGCATACTGTACTTAATAGGAAGCTGCATTCAGAACAGCGAACACATCCATGAACGCTGCACTGCATTTGTGTGCGTCCAAATGCCTCCATGGGTACCTGCCGCTCCTCCGTACTTGAGTGGACTTCTGTGTACATATTACACGATTTGCAACTCGTGCATGCATAGGTACTAACCGAAAAGTATCCACTGGGGTCTCTTTGCTTTCTCCAGAAGGAAAAATCCGCCTGCAGGGCCATGAGCTCCAGGAAGCAGTGGGCGAGGGAGAAGAAGAAGATGAAAACCAGAATGGCAAATGAATTTTTCTTTGCTGCTGCTGCAGCTGTCATCTTGAGCGAGTTCATGTCGTAGGCATCCAGGCCCAACTTGTCCTCCAGCAGCGCGAAGCTGCTAGCCAACATCTGCTGCAAGAACCAGTAGGCGAAGCCTGCAGCAGCAGTTCCACAAGACACAGTTGCAGACACAGGCGTGTGCATACGCATACACATATGAAAAAGCAAGTCGGAAAAAAGCAGAGCAGGGACACAAAAGCAGTGCACACGCGCTTTTGCAGATGCACGCGAAAACGGGCATTTGCATTATGCACATAAACAAGTATACACACACCCATGAATGCATAAACACATTTGAACGAGATTAACCCGATACTGTTAAGTACGCAGGAGACATACTCATGTCCCATATACACAAGCTAGCTGGGCGACTCTGCACAAGATAGCCATAACGCGCACTGTTCTCCATCGGTTTGAATTTGTGGCAGAGAAAAAAAGGAGCGTGCAGAAAGGAACGTGTACCACAAGTTCTCACAATTCTGCATCCGATTACATGTATACATACGCGGACGGTTGTGTTACAATTAGGCAGTTCTTCTGCGTACTTTTACACAAGTCGCCACGAAGTATTCGTCGATGTGTTTCCATATACACGCAGTACCCACGTGCAAACAGGTTTCTAATAAATACACATATACAGATATGCGCGTGTATGAGGCCAAGTGCAGGACATTCACTCAAAAGTGCATGCATTTATGTCATTGGGCGTACGTGCTGCTGGGCTTACCCACTGGCTGGTACATGATGTTGACTTGGAGAGGCTTTTGGGGGTCAGTCTCTTCTTCTGCATCTGGCTGCAACGAATCCAATGGGGACGATTCCAGGGGCCGGTGTTCGTCCTGGGGCGAAATGTCGGCACTCACGTAGGGCGGCAAAATGTAGGTCTGATACCAGGAATAAAAAGGTAAAGGGACACACACACAGCAGCGAAGAAGAAAGAAACTGAGGTAGAAAGAACGGAACAACCGACTTCTACACGCAAAAGAAAATAAGCGTGAGACGAACATAAAGCACATGGCAAAACTAGGACACACGGGAAGTCTAGAGACCAAACAGAATAGCAGAACCAAACAGAACTCTGCAGATGAGGTACAGAAGCACTGATTTGCACACGAAAAAGAGGATAAATCTGAGACAAATATGGAACAAAAAAGGCACAGATAAAACGAATGAACAGCCTGGAAACCAAACAAAAGAGCAGATCCAAACACAACTCCGCCGGTGAAGCAACAGCAATCACAAACTGAAACAATGAGAGACAGAACGAAGACAGGTGCAGTGCAGGCCTGAAAACTGTGGATCACGTCACGCATGCGACAAGATAGGCAAACAAGCTTTCGCAAAGACAACTGCGAACATCGGCAGGCACAAAAGGTCACATACAATGAAAATGAAAAAGGAAAAACGTGCAAAATAACAGGAAAGAATGATGTGCACAAACGCAGCTAGAGAGTGTCACAAAGCTGAGATTTAGGAAAGAAGGAAACACAACGCACCAGCTACGGTAAGGGCTACGAAAGGTGTACAGAGGCATGAAACTGCACAAGGAAACCAACACAGTTTGACCGCCCTCTTCACCAGGAAGGAGGCGGTCGACAGATCCAGAGGAGCAAGTGCACACCGTGAAGCGCCCGAAAGGCAGCCGTAAAAGGGCTTGAAGCTCAAATTCTAGAAACGCATGCAAGTGCGCAAGCATGCATGCAGCCCAAAGCCCAAACAAGGCACGGCCCCACGCGCATCCGCACCCTACCTTTGCATCGAGATCAACAAAGGGCCAGTTGGCGCCCAGCTTCTTCTGCAGGGTCGGCAGGTGCAGTGGCCGATTCTCCACCACAGGCCCAATCTGCGCAGGACGTGGGCAGCGGAAGCAGCAGCAGCAATTTTTAGAAGGACGCAGCGACTCTTGCTGGTAAATATACAGGGGAGCCTTCTAATCCTACCCTGTCGCCCTGGCCCTCTTTCTGCGTCAGGCTCTGTCCTTTGTTTGGCTGTGTTCTTAGTCCGAACAGCACTTAGAAAGAGAAACAGAACCAACAGAGGCATGTCTGAAGGGTATGTACACCGCCTCACCATCACGAATTCGGGAATGCACTGCAGTGCTGGACCCGGCACCTGCAGCCCCTGAAGCTTCTCCTCTAGAGCTCGGCCTGTGGGGTCTTTGAGTAGGTACCTCTTAATTACTTTGTGCTTTTCTGTAAAGAGAACAGAAAGACAGTGCAGGCAAAATGCTATGAAGCGCCCCCCCGAGCTGTGGAAGCCCTGTGGGTTAGGGTTTCGTTTCTCCGGTTTAAAGCGTAGACCAGCCTCACCGGGCACCATGTGCGTTGTGAGGCGGCGAACTTGATGTATGGGCAGCTCATTGCCTTCTTCATCCGAAACATACACGTGCAGGTAAAGGGTCCGGTTTCCGTGTCTGAAGCAAAACACTTAAGCTTTAGCGTTTAGGCATTAGGGTTTGCTAGACAGAAAGGCACACCTAAACAGACCGCAGCAGGAAGGCAGAACTGTAACACGTGACAGTAAGCGAAACAGCAGCAGGGCAGGTACAAGAAACAGTGCCAGACAAAGAAGGGCGAACTGTGTATAAAAGAAGACCACCAGGGGTCAGGGAAGCAAAAGCAGTGAGAGGCGGAGAGGGAAAAACCACAAATGGGCAGAAATGGTACAAACAGATGCATGCACTAGGGCAAGAGCCATGAGACAGGAAGACGAATATGGCAAGGAGAAACTGGGTAACAAACACACGTAGACCAAAAAAACGGGCCGTAATGAACCAGAAAGGCAAATACACATCTAAGGACAAGGCGGAAGCTTGTGCATGCGAGATGCAACAGAGTCAGCGAAGAACAAGAGCAGACGGCTGGAGGCTAGAGGAAAGCGGAAGCAGAACAGAGGCAGTCAAAAGAGAACAGGTAACGTGAATAGACGATAAACGAAAGAGTGCACAACGAACACATGAAGGCCGCCGTGACAAAGCCATGAAAGGGTGAAACGGGAAAGCTGTGGAAGGGTGATATACAAGAAAAGACGTAAGAAGCGCATGGCGACAGCGAAAAAGCACAGGAAAACGGGGCTCAAGGCCGACAAAAGGAGATAAGGAGGCTCAGGGAGGATATAAATGGCAAAGAGACAGGAGCCGAAAAAGAACTGAGAATTGCCCTAAGGAGCCTGTGGCTGCAGGTGAGCAGGTGACCTATAGTTGGGGGGAATTGTGGCAGTGAGCGTAGCGACGTTTCCGGCGGAAACGTCGAGGTAATTCCTCCAGGCCTTCCACAGGCGGCCTGCCTTCTTGAAATATTTCCAAAATGCCTCCCCCAGAGCCTCTTGTTTGGGCTCTGCCTCCCCCGCGGCTGCCGCCCCACTGGCCCGCCGCTGCGCCCCACCCTCGGCCGCAGCCCCAGCCGTGGTCTCAGCCCCAGCCTCAGCCTCATCAGCTGCAGCCTCGTCTTCGTCTTCTTCAAACGCGTAGGGCTTCAGCCGCGCCGAGCCCGCCAAGCTGAACTCCTCCGGCAGCGTCTTCTTCTCCTGCAGCGACCACACGAGGTGCTGCCGCAGCCGCTCCAGCGGCGGCAGCGCTGGGTACGGCGAAAGCACAATGTCGTAGGTAAGCAGAGAGCCGGCCTGGGCCAAAGCGCACACACAGAGCCACACGCAGCAGCAGCAGCAGCAGCTCGATGCTGCTGCAGCAGGCACAAGGAATTGGCTAACAAAACCCGGGGCCAGTGTCACCCACAACAAACAGATGATGGACGGCACGCATCGGCAACAGCTCTCGTAATAGCTCTGCCTTTCTGCAGTGAACTTCAAACTGAATTCCCAGCACCCGCCAAGGTGGCGTTCAACATCAAGCCCCCAGTCTTCCTTTATCTGCTGCCGTTCGAGCTAATTTGCACTCACATCTATTTTGTTGACGAGCACATCGGGGATCTGCTGCAGATCAGGCTTCGCCAGCCCCTGCAGAGATCGCGAGACCCTGCCCTCCGCCACAGGAGCCGAAGTGGCTCTGTACAAATCCCACGCGGTGTAGACGCAGTAGGCCGCGAAGGCCGCGAGCGCTGCGTTGCCTCTCCAGCCCATTTCTGTCGGCGCTGAGGGACTGCAGCAGACGCACACAAACACCAGCAGCCGCTGTGGAAACAGAGGTAACGAGACGAAGGGAGGAAGCAGTGCGAGGAAGGGGGATAATGCTGAGGCAAAAACAGAGGCCGAAGCGACTAGCAGGAACGGCAGGGCTGTGGGAGAACAGAGGAGTTTGAAATATAGCTCGTGAGAGGCAGAGGTGGAAGCCAGAGGCGGGCAAGCAGTGGGAATGGGGGGTTCCTCAACCACAGTGAGTCGGTAAACCCGAGACAGAAGAAGCAGGATATGGAAATAGACAAGCTTATAGAGTGGAACAAAAAGACATATCAATGCGAACATCAGCAAATAAAACCAGCTAGCAGTGCACCGGGCAAGACAAATATTCCACAGTGGGAAAAAACACGCAGGCCAAGAGCCTCACCGGAGCACAGCAACACAACAGCAACGCCTTTCTAAATCCTTGGCCTGCTAATTGAGACGTGCATTTATTTCAGCAACGATCATTCATTATTTTTCATTCTACTCCTGGAAACAGCAGCGGCGCTTCCAAACAGCCAAAGGCACCCAACAGTCTCAAGCCCCTACACGGTCTCACATGGCCCTCCGCTGCCGACAAGCCCCAAACCTCCGACGCTATTGCGGCTTACACCTAACGGTTTAGAGTTCCCGATTTCAGATTTAATGTTCCGCTGAGGCTGCTTCTCTGGGGAATGCCTCTCTGGTTAAGTAGTTTGAGGCTTCACAGAGGCCCCCAGATTTGCCTTCTGCGTTCTTGTATGCTTCGGCTCTAATCAGCCAGCTGCTCAACTTTGAATGCAGAAAAAACAAATACAAATACAAAAGTGCGCAGCTATGCACAATAGAAGGAATTCAATCGCAGGCTTTACTTGTGAAATGGTGGCGGCTGCTCTCTGCTGCGCTATCTGTAACCCCCAAACCCTAGACTACACAACCCCTTCACAAAGTGCCTCTGAAGAAGCTCCAGAGGACAGATACAAGGACGGCTGCAGCAACGGCTGCAGTGACATTTGTTAAATAATGCAATCTCCATCGCCCTGCTGGGTTTTCGGGCCTCTCCTTTTGGCTCCGGCTTTCAGCACCCACGAGCACAGACGAGTATTGACTTAGTACAAAGTGGTGATTATCGAGTACAACACTTGAAAAGGAAGGAGGGAAGAAAGGGGCAGCGAGAGACCAGCAACAGATATCCAACAACAACAGATTTATTGAAGGGAACAAGTTTGCCTGCCTTACCGAGTCGCCTTCGACTCAAGTGAATCCCAGTGCAACAAAATCACCCGAATTCTATTAGAAATCTAAGGCAGAATGAGCCCCAAAAGGCAATACAAACCAAGAAGCAGAGGAGTGCCAGATTCAGCTAAGTCTTAGCGAGTTGAAAGCTACTTGGCAGGCTGCAGAGGATTCGGGAGGCAACGATCAACAGACTCAGTGCTAAAGGAAGAACCAGTAGTATCTATTGCCAAAGCACTAGGCTAGCAACTGTGAAGATGGTGTTTCGTGAGCCTAAGTGCAAATGGCCTCTTGATAAGTAGACTGTCACTTTCTGTTTATGATCGCCGTTGAGATTATTGAGGTAAGTCCGTACACCCAAGTGTTGCGTTTTTTCCGCTGAGACTTCATCTGAGGGGCAAGGTGTTTTATTCCATGCGAGAGCCCCGCCTGCGTCTCCATTCCGCGGAGACCACCGGGGGAATCAGGATCCCATTGCAAAAGAAAGTGAGCTACCGAACAAAATCAAGAACTGTTTCTTTTTCCATAAGTTGCTGGGCTTTACATAGCCGCGATAAAGCCTAAAGGGGCGGAAGCCGCATTTGCTGCCAGTCGCGCGAGTGGTCCATAAGCCTGACAAACAGGCAGAAGCAGCAGGAATGCTGACTGCTGCTGCAGTCAGGGTGGCTACCAGCCGCAGCTGGCTGTAGCTAGCTGCACGCACAGCAAAGCGTCCCGTGGAGGCGGCTAGCTATAGCTACATACAGCTGGACGCTAGCTAGCTAGTTGCCGCTGGACACAGAGCTAGCCATGGTCATATTTGTCATAGATGTGCTATTGAAGCAAGCGCGTGATGTGGCATCCTCCAGTTGTAAAGGCGTGCTGCTGCAGGCAGGCCAGCAGCAGTTCGCCGCCTACCGCTTTTTGAATCCCAACACAGCACAAATCTGAAGAGATGGGGGACTAAGGCCAAGGCAGAAGCCGAAGTGTGGCGGGCAAGTAGATCAGTATGTTTTCTGACCATTATCTGCTTATTACTGTGACCCGATGGGTCTAGCTACTTTTGGAAGTGCCCAGTACTGTGCGCGCGCACGGGGACATAGAGCACAGAGGCCAAAGAAAGCTTCAATTGCTCGAAGAAGGCCCGAATTTCGCTTTAGCCAAAAAGTTGAGAATCCCCAATTTAAACTAGGGGTAAACATAGAGGCAAGTAGTCGTTCTGCCGCCACGCTGCTGGCTGCAGTGGCTGCGCAGCCGGTCACTGCCCGCACTTGAGTTTTTTCGTTGCCGCCTGTGCATGCAGAACATTTACTACTTCGTTCCAATTAAGAACGTTATTTTGAGTCAATTATTTATTTTGGGATCACGGAAACATTACTTTCTTCCCCAGACGGACGTGATTGCTCCCGTGCATGCGGCCGACGCATGTGCCACTGGTCCATCAGAGGAAACGGCCCATTAAGAGCAGCTTCAGTGACAGAAGACAGTTTAAATGTAATTTACTTTGCTGTACGCTGAAAGTGAACTTTTGGAGGCTTTGTAATAGTGGGCGGAACCACCAAACAGCACTGGCGGATGGCCGTCAGTGGCCGGCGTCCATAGTTCGAGCATGAGCTGGCCACCGGCGGAGCAATACGGAGGCCAGAGACGTGAAATGTCCAGTTTGTTCCTCACTAATATTGGTCTCACGAATATCGTGAGCTCCTAGGCCCTCACTACTGCGGACAGGCACACAAGCAGCAGCGGCATGGGCAGCTGACAGTCTGCTTTGTTATGCCGTAAGAAGGCGTATCCACGTACGCCGTCGTAGCAGGCGTGGGGCCCCACAGGGCGGTGGATAAGACGCAGCAACCAGGTCGGCCTAGTTTCCCGGCAGCAGCTGCGGCGAAGGCCATGGCGGTGCTAGGTGCCGATGAGGAGCGGCAGCTATTTGCTGCGGACGCCGTCAAGGCTATCATGAACTGGTGAGTAGCCTCTGTGAGCTGCTTCATTTTGGCAAGCTGGAATATTCGTCTCCCTCCGAAGCAGCAATGCCACACGGCCCACGAGCCAACAGGCCCACGGGCCCCCTGTCATTTCTACTTCGCATTTATTTCAACTAGTTAGCTTCTTTGCTTCACTGTCTCTGCACTGTCGCTGCTGCAGGCCTCCGGGCTACTCTGTGGACGTTGCGGATTGGGTGACGGAGACCAAAGAGGCCTTTGCGCGCCCGGTTGTCCACTTTTCAGGCGAATACATTTCTGTGCCTTCTGCAGTTCGGGAGGCGCAGCAGAGCTGCTACAGCGGAAGGGAGCTGCAGCGAACAGCATGGACCCCTGCAGCAGCAGGGTGGGGCCCCGGGGGCCCTGGGCTGTTCACTGAGGCCCTTGTGCGCTCTACGGACCCCACTTGTGCTTCTGGACGTGACCTTGTGCCGGGGCACTGCACCCAGGCAGAAGGGGGCCAAAGCCTTTCCCAGCAGCAGCAGCTGCTGCGGCAATGGCAGCAGCAACAGCAGCAGCAGTGTCGGGCCCTGCAGAGTAACAGGGAGGAGCTCAGCGCGACGGCAGCACCAACAGCCACTTGGCGGCGCCGACAGCCGCGGCCAAAAGGAGCTACGGCTGAGCCCGGTGCAGAACAAGGCTGCCGGAGTGAGACTGGAATCTTTTAGTGTGTGCAGTTTTGATTTTTCAACCTAAATGGATGCTTTTCTATCAATTAGTCGGGTGAAGAGCTGCAGCGGGGCTTCCTACGGACCCCCACAAGCCTGAAGGGTTTACCTAGAAAACAGGCCTCCTAGCACGTGTTTTAGCTGCAAAGGAGGCGACCCAGCTAGGGGCTGCTGCTGCGGTGCGTTTGGCCTGCAGGCAATTCGCCAGCCATCCGCCGTGGGCACTCCACGGAAGCCTCCGCGGGCTATGGGTCCCGGCGGCCAGGCAAGTCCAACTGGGGGTGTCCCCCAGTTGCAGGGCCAGGGCCCCGGCCGGCGCTGCGGCTGCGGAGAAGCCAGTCACAGCTTGGCGACAATGGCTGGACAGGGCAAGCAGAGGCAGAAGGAGCAGCACTTGGGGAGCGAAGCAGTGGGCAGCAAGCGGGGAGAGCAGGCCCGGGCCAGTCGCCGCCTGCTGCTGTTGTGACTTCCTGCCAGCAGCTGCTGCAGCGACAAAAAAAAGTGCTGCAGCAGCAGTACAAGCAGATGAGCCAGCTCAATCAGCAGCTGCAGGAACTCGAGCAAGCGCTCAGTGCTCTGCAGATGCAAGGCAGTGCGGACAACCCCCAGCGACACGCGCCTCAGCAGCCGCCTCTGCAGCAGCAGCAGCAGCAGCCGCAGCAGCAGCAGGCTGCAGCACACTGCCAGTCAGGCTCGGAATTAGCCCTGTCGGACCTGCAGCCTTTTGAGTATGAAGCTGAGGACGGCTCCGTCTGTTGGAGCCTTGACCCCCGCGACTACAGGTGGGTGAGAGTACTCGCTATGCGCCCGGGCATGAGGAAAGCCCGGAAACCCAACGCATGCAATCGCGAACCATAAAGAAGAGAGCTGGGGCTAATTGCATTAGACGTTTCTGAACAGGGTGCTGCGAATGGAGGCAGGAGCTCCAAACAGTGTGGCGCCCACAGCGCATTGAGTCCTCAGCTCATGGAAATGCACATTTGCACTATTGTATCCACTTAATGCGTGTACTGACATACATATAACAGCACCTTCTTTCTTTATAGTATAGTGCAATCTTCGGTTCTGTCCTCCGTGCAGGCGCATGCCTGCTGACGCCTTAAGTTGGATCCCGCCA